AGAAGCAAGGAATCAGAAACGAGCTCAAATTCTATTTCCGGTTGTATCTCCTCATGCTAAGTCAATCGTAGTTTGATTTTGTGAACAAGACATGACAAATACCGTGTCACTTTTTCAAGATTTAAAAAAGTATTATATGCACCACACAGCGACAACTTCTTCAAATCCAAACTCTTCTTTCGACTACCGTATTACCATATCTTTTAACGTGCGCGAGAAATGGCTCAAGGAAGTGCGCAGGCTTTGCCTGACATCAAGTACCGTTCGAAAGGAAAACTGTCGTGATTTATCGAGCAAACAAATCACTTCTAATCCGCAGAAGTGCATAAGCAATCAAACAACTCGTTTATCTTCACCTAACCTCCAGAAATCGCACGTCGGTGCAAATTAGAAAATAAAATAAAAAAAAGAGAGCCAGGATACCCCGGGTTAAGAACACATCACGCCGCTCCGGCTCTCAAGGACAAGGCTTCCTAAAAAGCAAGCTCATTCACAGTTCCTCGACGTTTCCGGTGTACAACCAAGAAGTTTCTCGACGATCGGGACTTTCTTAACCGATTCCCAACACGACCACTGAGGTCAGGAAGTGGGAGGGCATTGGAATGATGGGAGAGGGAGAAAAAGATGAGTCGACATTGATCACGAGGGCTGCCAGAGAGAATCACAACAGATGCACAAAAATAAATGCGGGAAAGACGGAGAGCAACAAAGAGAGAAGCACTCAACGGAAATAACTCAAGATCAAATATTCGAAATTCGGCAGATGAAGTTGTTCTGTTTTGCTCGATTTCGGACATCCTCTTTTCAAAACAAACTCATGGATCATCCGAAAAAAAAAGCAAAACAATAAACGTTTTCATGATGTACAAATAATCCCTGACGTGGAAATTGCTAGTTCCAATCCACTCGACAAAAATAGTTCTCCCGACACGCCTATCAGAATACAATACTTTCCGGATTTTCGCATCAATCAACTAACTACTGACTCTGAAGCATTCGCATTCTTGGGCCAATTTTGGCAGGAGGGAAATTATTCAGCTTTTCTTCGAGCCCAAAAAAAAATCATCCGATTTTAAACACGATTTGCTGATCAGAAAGAAGAATTCCGTTGCGCCTTTATTTTTCGAAAACACAGCATGAAGTGCTGTTATTTTAATACGCGTCCTAAACTTGAATCTCGAAAAGATTCTGAAGTCCTAAAGCATTTGCGCTGAAGTCGTTGTTGGATCAGTTTCGAAAGGAAGGGAAATTATTCAGTTTTCCTACATGTCGATTGAACTCTTCTTCGATTTTGAGCAAGGTTTAATCAAAAATTTCTATGCAGCCGTATTCTTGAATAAAAAGAGCAGAATACAAATTCTACGTCTTGGAGTCTTCGACTTTCTGCTCTATCATGTAATGGCAGCAAAACTGCTTCCATTCGATAAATAATGCATACAAAAATCTGCAATTATTCGAGTTTCAGATTCATTACGCAGTACTTCGTTTTTTTTTTGGGTGTCTTCAATTTGCGGGATTTTTTTCCGTCCCGTACACATCCCAATACGACGGGACCGGGTGAAGTCACTCAAGCTGGCAGTGCTTCGTTCACAGGGCGATTCCGTCCCTCGAGGCGTCGTGGCCCAAGTTCCATTGCCCTCTCGGGACTTCCAAGATGGCAGGCCGAGCGAGTCCGGGAATGGTGAGGAGGAGGAAAGGCCTGGCTCGGCGGAGGCTAATTTTATTCCGCGGCGGCGGAGGCGCACGCATGCACGCAACCATCCCAAACGGCGCCACGAAGCGAAACGTTGCACGCATTCGCGCTCGCCTCGCTCGGCCAGCGTGAAACACGGACCACCGAGCGTTTCTTCTCGCTTCCCAGCTACCTTCAAGCCCCTTTTCTTTTTCTTTTTTTGAACGACACAGAAGGAAAAATAAATAAATTCCCCCTTCCTACCGTATTTAACTTTGGTTTTCTCGGCCAGGTGTGTGAGGGAAAAATCAATGCATTCCTCGGTCCACGCGAATCTGACCAACCCACGTTTTCTCCGACGCAGGTAATGTTTTCTTACGTCTTCAGATTCCAGTTATGTATTGTACTGTACAAGCAGGGAAACCTTCTGGATATTGGAACAATAACCAGATTCTTGCCTTACATACTTTTCCACAAATAAACTGCTCTCTTCAGAATACAGTACTGTACTTAACTCTACGGACACGAAAAACAATCCTTTATACAGGTGGACTCTCTACAATGAAATTAAAGGACCATGAAAAAATCGTTAAAAGCAGAAAATTTTAGAAAGAAAGAGACAAACTCGCCTCAGAGAGAGAGTCTACCTGTACTAGGAAGATCGTTGAAGAGGAGCAGCTTACGCGTACATGTAAGGTTATAAAATACCAAAAGAATCATCGTACAGAGAATAAAACAAACACACGATGGCGCTGGTTTGAGGGAGGCTACAGCATGAGTACCTATTTTTTCTCGAAAAAAATCTTTAAAAAAATTAACTCAATGGAAAGTTTAAAATCATACACATTCATTCCGGAAATGAAAGAAAAATAAACCCGTCGGTATCCTTCCAACAGATACCAAGGCACACACGTACAGTATTCACCTTGTTGCGCTCGACCAATGGACGAAGACAGAGAACCGATGCACGTTCTTGTTCGATTCCCCTGATCAATAACCTTTATACACACACACACACACACACACACACACACATACTCTCATAGAAACTTCCCTGTCGGTGTACATACAATACAGTGCGTTCCTTTCTCACAGTCATTCTCCCACTCCCCGCATTACACACGAATGCCCACACGATTGTTCCTGGCCTGGAAGGAAAAGCCTCTTACAATCCTCTCACGCACACAGTCACTGTGGCTAATGAAGGAATCTCGCACCGCCGGGAACGACTTAAAAGGAAGACCAGGGAAAAATCCGAGCAAATGCTGACCGTCACGATCCCTTCCTTTCAACCGCAATTTGAAACAGAAGAGAGACAGAGACACACACAAGTATAAGGAGAATGAATCCCAGCCACTCCCAACGGGACGAAGACGAGAGACATCAAGTTTTCATCATCTCGAGTCGCGCTGATTAAAGAAATCGGTTTCAAGGAGTGGCGTGTTCCAAGGCGTAGTTGCACTCTTAATGGAAATAAGTTTCATTTTCTTTTACCTTCCTGGTTTCTCTTCATGTGTATTAGCCCCTGAACCAAAACGCGAGCGTTGGTTTCTAATCCGGGTGTATTCCATGGCTAAGTTCGTTAAATGTGAACGGAGGGTAAGAAAAAAGCCAGGAAAAAAAATTATGCGGGTTGGTTTATGAGTACATAATTGTATTCGCAGTCTTCTGAGCAATCACTTCCTGGCTATTGGATCACTTCCTGGCTATTGTTCGAATTATTTCTCAACACGGTTGGACTGTAGAGAGGCCCAAGTAAAAGCTCCCATCACGTCACTGCGAGAAAATGCTCTTTTCACGCAGTTCACGTGCAACAAAATATTTCAAATCGAAGAAATACTCCTTAGAACAAATTATCGGTTATGAGAATTGCTTTGCTGCTACAGTATTTGATAAAGTTCACCGGAAATGCCAATTGGTGAGCAAAAAGTCAGAAAAAAAAACCCTGAACGAATGAACAAGCGTTTCCTCCAGTTCTTGATCCCACATGAAGATTAAAAAATCAGGAATTTAAGCACCTGAAATTACAGTATCATCGCAAGGTACTGAACAAAGTTGGGATCATCCCCTGGCGCTCAACCAACCAAGAACAAACTTGATTTCTTCCCTCAGTCTTTCCTACAAAAATAGCAGAAAGCCGGAAACGTGAAGAAAGAGGGGGGGGGGGGGGGGGGGGGGGGGGGNGGGGGGGGGGGGGGGGGGGGGGGGGGGGGGGGGGGGGGGGGGGGTTACGGGTTATAAATGAAACCGCAGTTCGTAATCAACCCTTCCTCGCTTGCTTCTCACCCCTACCTCAACAGACATAACTAGGCATCTAAACTTCAACAAGCTGTGTGGTTGTCTCGCGGGTATTAACGGGAGACTTCCTGCTGGGATCATCCATTAAGGTTTTATTTTACCAACACGGGTAGAACAGGATGTGAAGACAAGGTTTCCCAAACCCTTTTTTGTTCCAGAGATAATGAAGAACGCCAAATAAGAGATCACGCTGAATTGTGCCCTTATAACGAATCCTTTCGTTAGGAATACTACAACTTTCAGGACGAAAGTTCAAACGTTTTACTGAATCTGACCGAAATGAACGATTTCGAACAGCCAGCTTATTTTTTTTAATACTTCGAACAAGGGATTACGCTTCAACAGTAGGACGAAAATAATGCAGAGGTTTCTCTCGGAACTGCAGCAGTTCGCGTTGGAAACACTTTAGCTCCACAGAATGCGTTCGTAGATAAAGTTCGAATTGCGAAATACAGTAAAGAACAGTGTTGACCATGAAGAAACCTCAAAATCAGCGTTATTAGCCGTCGATCAGCCTTCAATAGCACTTCATTTAAGTCAGATAACGTTAAAATCTTTTTGTCTTTCCAACTCGATCGTTTCTGGTTCGAAATTTTCTTCAATAAAAACATATCATGTCGATTCGGATGAAGTTTCGTAAACAGTTCCATCCCGCAGAATGTATTTTAGCAAGATACCCTCGAGCAACCGCACGTGAACCCTGCTTCAAAAAACTGAATGCGCAATGCGCAAAACGTAATCGTTTCTCATAACAAGCGAGGCAGCTGTGGAACAAGCTAAATGCTATTTATAGCTTTAAACTGTTTTATTATGTAAATAAACTTGCGGATAATGGATATTCAAATTAAAATTATCATGTAGCAAGCAATCAGCGAGTGTATTGGCCAGGTTAACGAATGATCACACATCATTGCACCGCATTTTGCAGTTTGATTCGACAGACAATAAATTCAACTTTTGACCTTACATGATACAGTATTAAAGACGGCCTAATGAAAGTAACCACGCATCGCCCGGGACGACCAGGAGTTCACAGGGGAAATAAAGCTGATGAAGTCGAGAATGAGAGATCAGAAAGACGCTGAGTTTCGCACGAAAAAAAAAATGAAGTCCAGCGAAGTTTAATCGAAAGCCAAAGTAATAAAAATGCAACAGCATCATAATTATAAAAAATTAGAAAAGTAGACTCACCAGTATGCGTCCGGGTGTGGCGCTTGAGGTCGAAGGTGTCGTTAAAGCCCTTGCCGCAGAAAGTGCACAGGTACCGCTTAATGTCCGAGTGACACTTCATATGGCGATTCAACAGCCTCTGGAGGGAAAAGGACTTCGAGCAGAGTTTGCAGGCAAACTTGTTCTTCGGGTCTGGAGGGTCTTGAGGCACGGACGGCATTGGAGGCGGCGGTTGTGGCGGCGGCGACTGCAACTGCTCGCACTTGTCGGATCCTTCGCCCTTTTCGTGCGGCACCAACGGGTTCTTGATCCCGTGTCCCCCGTTCACGAATTCTATGGGTGCATCCGGTGGCAATCCCAGCTGCACGAAAATACATTTTAATGAAAGCAGTTCGCAAAAATAACTGTACGTTAAGCATTCCTACAACTAAAAAAACAAAACAAAAATAATTGAAATCTACTACGTTGCTCGTCACGATATCCCTCCGAAACAAAATCTAGAACGCAGCAACCCGAATAAATCTTAAGTTAGTTACACTTCTGTCAAACTAAACATTATCCCCTGAAATTTTCTCTGGAAAATACAGTGAAGTTTGAGCACGCTGGCTTCAAAACATCATCGAGAAGCCTTTAAATACTGATCTCGTGATCCAGAAAAACTAAAAGATTCCGAGACACACAAAAAGAAAAATGAATTGCGCGAGGGATGGTTCAGAAGTTTCGTCAGTACCTTGAAATGAAGTCCTTTGGGTACCCAAGCTTCCGAGTCAAAATCCTCCGAACACTGTGGAATTAATAACAAAACTTAAAGGAAGCCTCTTCATTTCATCAAGATTATTTTCAATTTCAGCCCTGACTTGGGGAACCTCTTGCTCACCAATTGTCAAGTTTAAGTCAGCCTTCACATTCAACATTACCAGCACACACATTTTCAACATCTTCACACTTTTTTCCCCCTCGAACAATCGGTGGGAAGTAATTTGAAATACAATTTATTTCTTATACAGTATTTAGACCAGCGGCAATTTTATGAAACATGCAAGGGGAGAAGATAGAGCGAATTTCTTCACAACAATGGTGCTTACTCGGAAATTTCTCTCTTTGAACGTGAGTAGGCAAAATCTAAAACAGTGGTGCTGAAATTATCGATCAATATTAGTCTAAAATTCTGTTCCACCCATCCGAAAAAAAAGCGGTAGCAAAGGTCTGACAAAACTTTATGAACCAACCCCCGGCACGTCGAAAACAAATTCAACAACTTACGCGTTGCTGGAGCATTCCGATCCGAGCCTGAAGCGACGGGACGTGTCGTATGTCTTGGCTCGACGCGCCCTTTGTCGACGACGACACTTGCGGCGCAAAGTCGAATCCGTCCATCGACGACGGCGACGGCGCCGTCGTGGACGACACCTGCGGGATCGGCGAAGTAACTTCCTGCTGATGGTCGTACTTCTCCAGCTTGATCGCCGTGATGTCTCCGAAACTCGCCAACTCTTGCCCATGGTGTCCCATGACCGACATGTCCGCGTCGAACTTCATCGGCGGCAACGCCGTCTGCAACTGCCTCGGCAAGATGGTCTGCATCGACTGCGGCGACTCGGGCAACACGGACGACACACTCGACACCTGACCACACGGCGACGGCGTCATGCAGCCCATGATGTCCGTCTGGTTGCCGCCAGGCGAGAACGGCGAAGACGGCTGAGGCAAAGGCACCAAATCCGGCGGCTTCATCGGATGCAGGACTGGGATCGTATTAGGCGGCACGTCTCCGCCACCAGGCGAGGAATTCGACGTCACGCTCAGGTCGAAGCCCGGCGGCAGCAGCAACGGCGGAGGATCCGTCTGCGGCGACAGCACCGTCGCGGAGCCGATCAAAGAAGACGCCATCCCGGCGCCGCTAAGCAGGTCGTCGTCGGGAAACGATAATGACCCGTTCCATCCCCCGAACATGTCGCTTTGGTCAGGGCTCGGGAACCCGTTGATGCCGCCCCAACCAGAACCCAGATCCGCGGCGCAACCCCGAGGCTTTGGCATGGATCCCGCGCGTCCGAGTCCCTTGCCCCAACCCGCAGAACCCGGGTAATGCGAACCACGTCTCATGGACTCGTACATCTTCGCTAAGGCGGTGGCTGCGTGTGGTGGTCTTCTGGCGCCAGCACTTGGTCCAGCACCGCCGCCGCCGCGAAAGTCCTTGTTGCTGCGTTGCGCAACGACGGGACGCCACGGAGCCAGAGGTGGTAACCGGGCATCGGAAGGACGCAGGCTTATCTCGGGTTCGATCGGTTGCAAACCCGTGGCATTACTGTTGTTGCCTCGGCTCAAATCTTCCGGCTCGTCGTCGTCGTCATTGCATATTTTCATCTTGCGCATCAAGGGACCTGGTGGTGATGAAGATCGACTCGAGTAGTAATCGTCATCGTCGTGGTGGTGATGATGCTCGCCGCCGCCGCCGTCGTCCGAGTCTTCGCCGCCACCGAGGCGGTGCTGCGGAAACGGAAGTCTGCGGCGTTTGCCCAACACGTCTTCCGGCTTCTTTGGTACGTGGTAGTCGATAGGAGAGTGTTGCGCAGGCCGCAAGTCCAACGGCTGCTCGTCATCGTCGTTGGCATTGTCATCATCATACTCTATGTCATGGCGTTTCTCGTCGTTTGTGATTCGACAGCGAGCCTCTGCTATTCCATCTACGTCTCTGGCTTCTTCGTCGCACTCGTCGTCGTCATCATCATCATCATCCTCGTCATCAAATTGTGATAAGCATAATGACGATGGGATCACAGGCGGGCGTGTGGAGGATGTTGAGGATGGTTCGGAGACTTTGAGGTTGACCGGACTGTGGTGACTGACCGCCAAGCCCGGATTGGGATCCTCGCAATGCACATCGTGTTTCCTGGAGTCGTGGGCGATTGGAGTTACTCTATCGCTGACATCTTCCTCCGCGATCACATCATCAACTCTCTTGCAACGGACTCCAGCTTCTAAAACACACACAAAAAAGGATCGGAAAGAAATTTAGTGCTGTATGTTGTTGAGAACCTTCAAACTTTTGCAATGGTTTCATTCAAAACGACACTGAGGATCCAAAAACGTGGACAAGAAAGAAGTTGACAAGTTTCCAGAACAAAGATACCTACCGAAGACATGAACTCACGAAACAGAGTGTTAAGTTCGACGAAGTATCGCTTTTATTTTTAGCACCATGGATTCCGCAACTTCTATGAATTAGAAAAATTTTCGGGAATTGAGAACTTGACAAACGAATGAACTGCACCTTCGACATTGCGAAGAGCCATACTTCTACAGGAGCTCTTCGCTGACCACAAGGAATATTGTTCAAAACCCCCCCCACATTCCGGATTCAAATGAAATCTATTCCCGATCAACCAGTCAAGGAGCAAAAATCAGCGAAACGACGCGGCCATCATCGTGATGCAATGAAAAGACGAATGTACAGTATCTCCTGATACTCCGCAAAACATTTTCAAGGATTTAATTATTCTTGATTTCAAAGAGAGAAACGGCGCGAAAAATGGCGAGGTTCGGCATGCAATGAATAAAATTCAGGACCCCAGTTGGGCAACCACGAAATTGGCGCGAAACTTTTCTTCGCTATTTCGCAACCTGGACTTAACCCAAAATATTTCAGCGAAAAAGCAAGAGGAAAAAACGTCGCCAGCCAGATTTTATTTCTTCAGAATTTTTTTTCGAAACGTAACCTTGAGTACCCGTTGTGGTTCTAGCTCAACAAATGAAAGCTACGATATTCAAGCATCGAGAAAACTGAGTTTCCGTTCTTTTTTCGATACGCCAGGGAAAAAATGCCGCAGGATTTTCGCTAAATTCGCGATCGAGACCTTGAAGCGCTCTACCGTATAAAACCATGACGACAAGCACGAACAGAAATGGAATTTTAATACTTTTTCGTGCTAAACAGTGTTCTTTTATGCATTACCATGATCAATGTCAAGCGGTGCGAGGTTTGCACAAAATCCAAAATATTTCGGTCGCGCTCGGAATAAAGCGTCGGTTCAAACGATTTCTGAGTGCAGTACAATTCAATTTTATCCCTCGCTCGATGAATTTCTGACCATTGCTGCAACGCCCCTCAGTTTTAATTGCATAGATACAAATCCCCAACAATAAAAAGGATTTGAGTTTTACCGGACAGAGTGGAATGTTTGGTGATTTTTTCGGACGATCAAGTGATGGCAAAAATTCCATATGCATGCAAAATGTCCTTCACAGAAGTTTCTCTAGTCTGATACGAAGTTGGCAGCGGAATAAAAACCCATAATTTTGGTAACGCGTGTAATTTTTATGCCAGGCACGAACGCGCGTTGAAATGTCCCCCAAGTCAAAGCGGCGAATTCAGAAATAGTTCAAAGGCTATCTGTTCATCTCGTCATGAATTCCACAAAGTTTGAGGTTTCTTACTTGATCTCACTACTGTAGTATAAATCCTCAATTATAAGGCACGATGTTCGAAAATCACTCGTATTGTCAAAATATACTTCAGTTGCATTTGGGCCGCGGCGAGGCGGATACAGTTTTTTTCTTCCTGCGATGTTCTCACGTTCACTCAGGCGTCGAACTCTCCAGCAGTTACGTTGCTTCCATCGAAGTCGTACGAAAATTTCGGAATGAAAAAGGGCTAAAAATTGCCTTGTAAAAATGTAGGACGATCAACGAATGATAAGGCAAGTGCCAACGGACTCAAAATTTCTTCAGTAAATTGATCCCTCTCCTAAAAATCGATTCACAAAATTAAACTCGATTACAGTAATTCAGCTCCAGCTTCCGAATTCCCTACTGGGTTAAGGGAATTTCGCTTGAACTTCGCTTTATGCAGTCGAATTTGAAGTACAGTACTAGAAACAATCATTTATTTTTTTTAAATAAGCAGGATGATTCCTTCCGGTCGTTTCCCGCATTTGATGCAGTTCCTAATCCTAGTTCGACAAATTCTTCTCACGAAAATGAACCCCATTTTTCTCGAGAGTTAACATTTATGTAACGGAAGGTTGGCCCATTAAACCCAACCAATATGTCATCTTTCGAAGAATTTACATACTCCCAGTAGCCAGATGAAAATTTTACAGAAAATATCCCACCGAACAAGGATAAAGTACTTCACGGCAGACCCTTTTACGAATGAAAATTCCAACATGTAAGAAAAATGGTAAAAATAAACACAAAAAAGCATAAGGCAACTTTTCGTGCGGGTATATTTCCTTGAAACGCGTTTCAAACAGTCCTTGGAAAAACTAAATCGATAATAATTGCACATCCATCTAAATACAGTATATTTGATCAACCTTAGTCGACACTTTCTTCATCTTGATATTGTGAACCGTTCAGAAGATTATGCGACTTGAAATTAGGACTTTTGTGTTCATCTGTGCATCCGTATTCAACCAGAAAATATATATACTGTATAGCATAGTTACCATATACTGTAAACCGAAACATTCTTCGAACGCATGGTTTTTTCACAGTTCATATTGCATCAAGCTCAATTTCTTCAGAGAAGGCAATTAAAGCTTTTAACTAAAACTCGGAAAATTCATGTTTTTTTTCCCGAAAGGTTCGTGATATCGCCTCAGTCTAACGCCAACTTTCGCATAAAATATAAGAAAGAAGTGCAACCGAGGATGTGGAAATTCGGGTCAGGGCCAGCCGGAGGAAACTGCTTCTTGTTGATTCTGCCAGGCTCGGGTCCGATGATTCCCGGGGCATCCGTGATTGCAAGACATTCTCCATTAAATCAATTTTGCAAGAAATCAAAAATTGCGATGCAGAACCCGAGTCCTGTTCTATCCTTTCGGCGTCGAGAAAACCAGGCACACAGCGCTGGTTCGTAGCAAATGCGCCCAAGGTCGAAAATTCGCACTGGAGTGCGATCCAATTCCCTCACTCGACAACGCAATGGCGTTTAAAAGGCAAGCGTGGAGTATTAAAAAAGAATAAGAAGGCTGCCTATTTCCATAGGCAGCCCCCCCCTGGCACCCCCCCCCCCCCCCCCCCGAACAGCGAAGGAAAATCAGTAAACCCGTCTCTCTCTTTCTCCCCCCCCCCGGTTCTCTCCCATTTTCCTGCAAATTTCACAGTTCTTTTCTAGGTACTGCGAGAACGGAGCAATCCGTTAGTTACACTAACGACAGAAAGCACACAGCCCAAGGTCAGAGAGTCGGCAAGAATATTCATTTTTTCCATTCCAACACGGCTGGATTCTTTTTTTTTAACGTTGCCTCCGGCTTCCTCTCGTGAACCGTTTTTCTCCTTTTGACACGTAAGCGCAAGAAAGTCGAGTGGAAGTGACACGACACAATTCGCATCGCGCCACAACCCGAACGCAATTGCGATTCATGATCACTTCCCACGTGCATTATGCATCAAGTCCTGCTCCATGGCGTCGGTTTCCAGTTGATCATTTTCATTGTAAAAACAATTTCGAGATGCTGCATGGGAATAAAACTCGACGCACGAGAGAATCCCACCGAAACAAAACCCCTCAACTGGAGCGATGTAACAATAATTTATTCTTAAAAAAAAAAAACCTCCACGACGAGTTACTATTACTTTGAATGATTTTCAATTCTTTCGGCGGTAACATCGCATAATACCGGATATATCCTGGAAAAGTGAAAAATTACCGAAATTCTCTTCAGGTTGGACATTCTTACTTGATTAGAAAAAAATTCGGTATCACAACGAAAATTGAGATGATTACAGACGTCGCGGCGGCGATTTCTTCGCGGAGAGTCGCTGCGATGAATTCAATTATAAATTTAAAACTCAGTAGTCGAGATTTAAATTGCCCCTATTAGTGATGAATCGTCTCTAATAAGAAAGCCAAAGTGAGACCGTCACCTTGGACGCACTGAAACGATACATTCGCTCAAAATGACTGAAATTTTTTTTTTACAGGCATAAAGCGTTCGCCGGAGCATTAGACCCAGCAACGTGGAATGGCGAAAGAAATTACCCTGGTGGTAATTGGCTTGGTAGCCGAACGAAGCTGGAAGGGAAGGCAGCTTCAAAGGTTATCGTAACTATTGGCTCTTACTCATTTGACAAGAAATCACTATGCTGGAGGAGATTGAAAGCAGGTACTGGGCAAGGCTTTCCGAAGGTTCGATGTGAATCGCTCCGAGTCGACAAGGCAAACAAGACACTGCGAAGCATCGTCGCCACTTCCTCGGCAGTGAACATCTTCACATGTTTGGTATCGCGCTGAATGCACAGGATGCGAGATATTCTACCAACAGCAATCCGACATTTCGCACAGGAATGAGACTTGTAACGCACGGCATAACGCTTCCTCGTTAGAGAAATCAACAAAAACATAAGTCCCGCAGGGAAGCATGAAATATTGTACTGTTCAGTGCCACGTTTCAGTCGGTCTATGAAAATTTAACGGGAGTTCTGATTCAGCCGGCTTGTAGCTCGATGAGATCGGAGGACGTGGAACTCGAACGTCATTCGATCAATGGCAGAAGTGCTAATGAATCATTTTCAGAAGAAAATTGACATCGACGCGCTGACTTAAAAAATAAAAAAAGCGAAAATCAGCTCACTGACGCAATCACCGGCAGCCATTAAAGGAAAACAACTTTATAAACTAAAAATGAAATTTTAAATTGAGAAAAGCTACACGAAAATATTTTGCCTGCACCGCATGAAAATTCAAATTACATGGAAATTGCATGCGCTTAGCCTCGAAAAATGCGGCGTTAGGCATTCTTCAAACGTCCGAAAATTAAATCGGGCTCTTTATGGCAGGATTTTAGGTGCCTTATTTTTTGACGCTCTTTTTCGAGAAGATATGCGAGTGTGTCGATCCAGGGGATTTCTCCTGAAGTATGCCTAATCGGAAGTTTCTATCTGAGAGAACCCAGCATTATAGCGCAGTACTTTCCGTGGAATATAATTTATTCTAAATCCAAATTTCCACGCTTGTTGAGGAAGGAATTTCAATTTATTATTACTCGAGGAAATTATTTTGCTCAAAATGAAAAAAAGCTTCTCATCCGTGGGCCGCTTTCCATGGTGACAACCTCTTCAATATTCCACAATTTCTTCGGAACAGATTACATTCTCTTGTTTGAAGTGAAACGAGTCACCGTATCAGAAAACACACCCATCGACTACCGTGAGACGCTTTGAAAATGCATCTTGAAATCTCGGAGAACCGAGGGAGCAAAAATGGCTAAAAAAATGCATCAAGGATTTTTGAAATGCTTTGTCAAGATCTGGAAAAGATCGAAAAAGGTTTTGCTTCATGAGCCCATGA